TTTTTTTTTCCTATATCCTCCAAACAAAGATCCAAACAATGTGCTGCACATGCAGTCCAATATAAATGTTGTCTCTTTTCCATCAACTTTTGACCAGCTGCTTTAAGTGCTTTTTCATTATCTGTAACAACTTGAATTACAAATTCTTCTCCCACTTCGTCCACAACCTTATCCAATAACTGAAAGTAGTAATCAGTATTTCTAGTGTCAACACTAGAAGCATCAATAGATTTCAAGAAAATCGTTCCCTTGCTACAATACACTAGAAAATTCATAATATGTGTATGATTTACAGTATCTGTCCAATCATCACACATTATTGTTACTCCTTTTTCCTTCCATGTAGTTTTCAACTTGCTTATCCATTCTTGCATGCTTTTGCTACTCACCGCCCTCACCTACAGCCACCAAGATCACCCCAAAGCCAAGAGAGAAAGAAGATAAGCAAGAGTGAGTGAGAGTGTCGGGAAAGGAAAAGGAAAAGAAGAGGGGTCTCACAAATGACCCGTTCTGCTTCCACTTTTGATGTACTAATTTTGAATATGGAACTGCCCGTTCTGATCCATTCTTCATGTGTTATTTTTTAAACTGGAATGGTCCGTTTCGAAATCAGAACGGTCCGTTCTGAACGTGAATAGTAAATGGTGCTAGTTAGGGAAATAAATTTGCACAGTTGCTATTTAGGTAATTTTTTTTAAAAAAATAGTATTATTTGAGTAAAAAACTCGATGTATGATCACTAAATCCTCTAAACAAATATCTACTTTTGTGGAACAATTTTTCGTTACTTTACAATTTAAGAATTTTGGTGAACTACATATTTTATAATTTTAAATATCTTCTCTCTCTATATATATATATATATATATTATATATTTTGTTATATATTTTGGGTAGAGATAAAAACACTTGTGTAATTCATGAAAAATTATTAATTATAAAAATAAGAATTATTAACATTTTAAAGAGACATAATAAACAAGTTAGTGTGAAGAAAGATTTTGTTCACCCAACGACATTGTGACAAAATTAATTTTAAAAAAATATATATAATAGATTAATATTAAAAGAATAAAATTATATATAAAAATGGAATTTCAAAAATAAATCCGAAGTAATTAATATTTAAAGTCAACATTTTCTCACTTTTAAAGTATACTCATCATAAAATTGACTTTCTATCGAATAAAAAAATCAACCAACTAATTAATTTAACTTTTGAAAATATTCTTATTCACCACTAACCTTCGTTTCCACTAGAACCAAGAGCCAGGGTCATTTACTTGTGTTTAAAAATCTTTCTTGTCACGACAAATAAGGAAACGCGCTTTTCCTTTCAATAAAATCCGTGTCATGACGATATTTATTTTTTTCATTATTCTTTTTTTGTTTATTTTGGCAAGAGTAAACAATAAGATTTGTATATAAAAGTGGTAAGGGATCCTTCATTATTACCTAAACTCAAATGAATAATCTCAACTCAATTCAACTTGATGTAAACCAGGTTCAGTAAGATTAGAATTTTTAAGAAGGTTCGTGGTGTAGTTGGTGAGCTACTTTTGATAACCTTACAAAAAAAAAAATTATTATTATTATTTTTTTCTTTTTTAAGTTGAAAATTGCAACCAAACTTAAATCATGTTGGGTTGGCAGATTATATTTATTTATTTATTTAATTTTTAAAAATAATTTATATATTTATATATATAATTTATTTTAAATTTTAATTATATATAATAAATATTTAGTCTGTACATCATATAAGTGAAAATACTAATTATATTATCCAGTTAATTCATTAAAAAATTATAAATCATTTTGTTTTAATTATCATACATTTTTGTCCAAATTTTAGAATCAAATATAATTGAATAATTTTTTTTTATAAAATTAATAATGAATTTTTTCAATAAAACATGTATTTAATAAATTCACCGAAACAACAAAATAGAGTCATCAATATAATAAAAAATAAATAAATCCATAATACATTCACATATAAAATAAATACACAAATAAGTTTCGTAAAAAAATAAACTACTTATAAAGCATCATAAATCAATGTAAATAAGTAAAAGTAAAGAAAAAAATTGGTCAACAAACTAGTTAACAAGTCATTTATGTTATGCTTAAATCTTAATTACTCATCTTTAATCCACATTCAAATCAAAATCACAATTAATTGATAAAAAAAAAAAAAAAAAACTATTCTATGATACTTTGAAATATCATAGAACACGCGTTTCCTTGTTTTGCTAATACTATAACACGCGTTTCCAAATCCAGCAAAAATGACCGTTTTAGTTTCCTCTCTGCAATCTAAAAATCTTTCCTTGGAAGCGGTTTCCATCTTTCTGTTACCCCATCACGCGCTTCCATCTCTCACTAACTATATTACACCCCACTCCACCAAAGAAAAAAACCAAACTTTCCTTCTCTCTCTCTATTATTATAATAGTATTTTTCAAACCTCTCACTTTACCAAAATTCCATGTCCCACCTAAACGGCTCATACTACGGCCCCGCCATACCGCCGCCGCGGAAGTCGTACCGCCGCGGCGGAGGCGGCGGCGGGGGCCTGAGCTGCTGCTGCGGGTGCATCTTCGACTGCATCCTCGGCATCATCTGCAAGATCCTCACGACAATCATCGTCATCGTGGTAATCGTGGGACTCCTCTTCTGGCTCATCGTACGCCCCAACGTGCTGAAGTTCCACGTCACTGACGCCGCACTCAATCAATTCTCGTACGCCAACAACACCTTACGGTACGACCTCGCTCTCAACATCTCGGTCCGCAACCCGAACCGCAGGGTCGGGGGGGGGGGCGGCGGCGGGTGCCTGAGCTGCTGCTGCGGGTGCATCTTCGACTGCATCCTCGGCATCATCTGCAAGATCCTCACGACAATCATCGTCATCGTGGTAATCGTGGGACTCCTCTTCTGGCTCATCGTACGCCCCAACGTGCTGAAGTTCCACGTCACTGACGCCGCACTCAATCAATTCTCGTACGCCAACAACACCTTACGGTACGACCTCGCTCTCAACATCTCGGTCCGCAACCCGAACCGCAGGGTCGGGATCTACTACGACAGCGTGGAGGCGGTGGCGCTGTACCAGGATGTCCGGTTCGCGTCCCGAACCTTGGAGCCGTTCTTTCAGCACAGCAAGAACACGACTTTGTTGAGCCCCGTTTTCAAGGGACAGCGCGTGGCGCCACTCTCGGCCGAACAGGGTTCGAAGCTGGAGGAGGAGAAGGGTTCGGGGGTTTACTCGATCGACGCGAAGCTGTTCATGACGGTTCGGTTCAAGTTCTGGTGGTTCAAGATGGGGAGCGTCAAGCCCAAGATTCGGTGTGACTTGCACGTGCCGCTCAAGTCCAGTAATGGGACCCATCACGACGCTGCGTTTCGGGACACGGAGTGCGGCTGGGATTACAAACGCTGGTGGTGGTTCCATTAGGTTCTACTTTTGATTTCTTTTGCTTTTTAAGGGATTCTTGATTTTATCTTGCGTTATTCTTGATTTTTTTTTTTTTTTTTAGGTTGTGTATATTTTTCTTTATGGCATTTCACATTTGTTCCTTGATTGGACCATGACCATGGTCCTATTGGATCGATATGTTATGGATTTAACTTTTACTATATAGTATTATTATTATACTTTTGATTTGATTGCAGTTTCGTTGCGACGTATACTTTCTTTCTAATTGTTGTGAAATATGTCTCTTAAAGTAAATTTTGCTTCCGAATTTTGAAAATATTTGTGAATTATGCGCTTCTTCTGAAATACAAAGAAAAGTTATTGTTCATTGGGTTTTGCAATCCTAAAGTTTCACTTTATCGGAAATTTTGTGCCAAATAATTTTTGGCAAATTTTTGCTGCCATGATGTCGTAAATTATAACCTTTATTGAATAATATTTGATATGATTATAAATCACTGTCTTGAATTTGTACGATAAACATTGACAAATAGATTACATATATTTATATAACATGTATTTATATATATTGTTACATATATGTTTTTTATTTTTGAGAAGTTAATTGGTGTATTAATTTTTTCTTTTATTAATTTGGTATTTGTGATAACTAGGCATTGAAATTGGCTAGATTGTTCCACACTTCCACTAAAGCCTAAGCTCTACATTAGGCGAGACATTTTTTTTATTTATAAATAAGTCAACGCTTTTATTATAACTTTAGGTAAAATAATATTTCATCAACAAAAATCATCCTTTTAGATCTATTAGACTTATTTAACTAAGGATAAATATTTATTATTATTATTATTATATTAAATTTGTTAATATAATTCATAATTATAAATTTAATGTAAGTATTTTTAACTTATTTCTACTTTTAATGTTAATGCATTAATTTAATTAGTAAACTAACAAGAAAAAAGACACTCATTGTATGCATTAAAAAGATAAAGAAAAGAAATTATTTTTTTTATGAGTAGTTTATTTATAGTTATTAAAAAAGAAATCAAGGAGTTGCATAATAGAAATAGGGACAAAAAATTTCTTGTTAAAGTGAAAGTAAAATTTAGTTATTAGAAAAAAAATATCATTTTTATATAATGGTGTAAATTCATATTATATTCATATTAGTTGATGTACTTATATGCATGAATTGTATATGTATTAATATATATAATATTTGTGACATCCTCTATCTCGCATACTATGATACAAAATAAATAAATAAAGGATGCTATCATAAATGAAAATCTCAAGTGTTAACATAGAGAGTACCACACTTTTAACTTAAATGTCAATTAAAGTCCAATTGAAATTAAAAGAAAACTAACAAATGTTTTAACATAACAAAAGAAAAATAATTTATAACTAAGTTTTGATGTCACATCCTATTAGAGCATAACCTAATTGTAAGGATAAGGCATCATCGTCAACATCTTCAATATCAAGATGTAAGTCATCTACAACAACATACAAAAGAACAACACAAAATAAAGGGCATAAGAAATATCACATTCTGACTCATTACATAAAACTTACATAGATAACCAAATACAAGCAAGATACAAAGACATAATCACAACAATAGTAGAAACATGATACAATTATCTAAAATATAGTAAGGTGTAGTTCAAATTATATCACAACATGAGTTCACATAACCATAATAGGTTAATACAATAAATTCATTCACATACACTATGCAATGGACACGAGGTACAAGTAATCATGCATGTGTCGTCAGTCAAAACAATCACGTCACATATTGTCCTCAAGCAACACATAAACTAGCCTAAGAGTATATGTCAAGTCACACTCTCAACACACTCTCACTAGGAGGATATATAATTAAGATCTAGTCAGGACAACAAAGTCGTGCAAGCTCTACCTTAAGCACAAAATGGGCGAAATCAAAGTTTCGCAAACCCGACTGCCCTCGAAGACTAATCCCTAAGCTTTTACATAAGGGATCTTCCTTAACCGTGTATTCTATATCGTACCCTTCCAAAGATATTTATGTATATGATCCATGTCAAATAAGGCTTTATGCATTATCACATTGCAATAGCATTTCGTGCAATTCATCAATTGTTCTCATATCCTACAAGTCATCAACTGTTATCAATAGGGTAAGTAACAAATTCAATTGTATCAATTGGTATTCACAAGAAGTGACACAAAGATCACGTCAAAGGAGCTCAAGGAATTCAAAAAGGATGATCACAAATGCAGAATGAGGCTTAACAACACACATTTTGTGCTCATTGTCTAAGTCGTGTCTAATGTGGCTAAGCTCATACTTGGCGAAAGCACTACAAGGAAGCCCCTGGAGCTTTTACGTCTGGTGATGGTCATCTCACACCCGACATGAGCGACCTCAAGAGCAACCCTTGCTCTTGGCCTCAATGATGCCCAACGAGACTTAGGTGGTGCTTGATGTCGTGTCATAGAAGATACATCTTGCGTATATGCGAATTTCGAATTACAAGTACCAATCACCAAAATCACAATTCAATTCGTAAAAGTGTTCCACAAAGCATGTTAAACATTATAAAAAGCACATTTGACATGTACTAATCACATGCTCATTTAATATCCTTTTACAATCATAAATGCATTCATTTAGGATTCTCACAAGAATCTATGAGTAGTCTAAGATCTATAATTATTAGATCAAATATGAAATTAAGTATATGTACATGTTAATTACATCAAATAGAAAATTAAAGAGCAAGACAGGGAATACAAAGACACATAATTAGGAAATCCCTTTCACACAATACAGACAAACGAGAAGGGATTGTGGTTAATCCTATTACCTAACATATATCCCACGCCTAGGGTGAAACTATTTACCCCCTTACCTTGATGAGTGCTAGAAGATGAACGTGAATCTCTGTGGTGTTCTCCTACAAGTTTTGGCCCATGTCTAAAGCGCATAAGCATAAAGGAAAAGAAAAGGGTGTAAAATAAAAATTGATCATATAACTCCCTTTTAAAAAATACTTACCCATCTTAACTCATCAGTTAAAACATTTAACCCAAGTTACCAATTCCTTTCCTCAAAATAATAAACAAATAATTAAATCATTTAATAATAAAACTTTATAATATATCCATATAAGTATAAAAATAATTAAAACAATTATCAAAACTAACTCAAATATTTATAACAAAAAATAATAATTAATAACTAATAAAAATAAATTTTTAATAGAAAATTGAGGTATTATAATATTTCATATTTTGCTACATGTGAAATTTTATTAATATACTGAATTATATAATATCCATGAGTTATTTTACATGAATATTAGGGATAACAATATAAATTGGGTTTGACAAGTCAACTCGCTAACTGACTTTGGCTGCCAGGCTAGAGTCATTTTTTCAACCTACTTTGACTTTTCCCACCTAACTAGTTAAAAAATGGATTGAGATTGGGTTGGGATGGGTTAATCCACTAATTTTTTATTTATTTTAATTTCTTATATTTTTGTTACATGTTTAGTAGGATATATAATTTTTTTATATAAAATAGTAATATTAATTTTGATCCTTTGAACATGTGTATGGTATTATTGTATAATATATATATATATATATATATATATATATAATCGGTGTAATTTTTACTAAGTGTTACATCGCTCAATAACTTTATATTAATTATGAGTTTTGTAAATCCAACCGTTAGATTAAAAGTTCATATTACTTTATACGTGTATATCAAATTTTGTTAAAATTGAACAACAAATTGAAGGTAATCAAAGTATTCATATTTTAGTGTATTTTGAAATGAATATATTATGTCAATTTTATTTTATAAAAATGAAGTATCAAATCATCTAAGATTAATATAAAATTTTCTATATATGATCTAAGAGATATGAACTTTTAATCTAACAGTTGAATTTACAAAATTCATAATTAATATAAAGTTATTGAGCGGTGTAATACTTAGTAAAAGTTACATCGGTGTAATTATAACCCCATATATATATATATGCATTAACTAAAAGTGTAAATAGTTTCTAATTATTTTTATGGTTTTTTTATTTCATTTATCATGTCTAAATTAATTATTTTTCAAAAAATAAGTTAATTTATTTAATTTTAAATAAATATTAAATATAAAAATAAAGAATATTTTTTAATTATCAAGCTAATTGACTTGCCAATCCATCGATAAATGGAGTGAGTTGAGTTTTTGAACCCACTTTATTAAGTGTAACGAGATGGGTTGACTCACTTAGTATGAATTGACGATAGAGCAACAATGAGTGAATCCATTTTTACAACCTGTGATAAATATTAAATTATTAATACAAATTCAAAATAATTATTTACAATCATGTTAAGTATAGTTCAATGAACTTAGTAAAAAAGGGGAAAGTAGAATTCAATAAAGAATGATAATCCCCAACAATTTTAAAATTTGGAGAAAAAATTTGTAAATAAGTTATTTGGGGATAAAATTTATGATGAAATGAAGTTTTGGAAACATAAAATAATATATATATATATATATACTTACTCCGTTTAATAACTCATGTTCTACATCAAATTTCAACGATCCAACCGTTGAATTTAAAGTTCTTAATGCATAGATCTGGTTTGCAAATTTTTAAAAAATTTGAAAATTCTTTGATACTTCATTTCACTAGTATAGGTCTCGATCATTCCTAATCAAGCCCTCTATCAGTTTGTAATAGTAACTACAACTCATAAGCACCCCTTTACTCAAAAAATCATGGAGGCAATGTTAATAGATAATTGGAGGAGTCTTCCACTAGAGAAATATGATGGATCATCTGATTCTGATGAACATCTAGATGCATACCTTACTCAAGTTACTTTGCTAACTCAAGAAGATGTAGTTCTACGTCGTATTTTTCCAACATACCTAAAAGGCCAAGCACTTAGTTGATTCATTAAGTTTCCTCCAGGATCTATAAATTCATTTAAAGTATTGTTGGCTTTGCTCACTGTACAATTTTCTACTAGTCAGCCATACCAACTGACATCATTGACATTGGCTAATATCAGGCAGGAGAAGAAGAAGTCTTTTCAGTCATTCATGGATCATTTTAATAAAAATGCTATGGAGACAAAAAAAAATCTAAACTATGTGGTCACAATGGATAGGTTGAACACTAATCTCAAACCATGACCTTTTGTGAATAATTTATG